TGTGTCGTGGTTGTGCATGGTTTGTGTTTGCAGTATTACGGATTAAATATTATATGGTTGAGTACTTGAGTTTGTTTGTTATATTTTCTAAAATAGTGTTTTGAGATATTTGCAAACACTTGGGGAAGATGTCTGATGATGGTGTGAGTGAAGGACAGTTCTATCATGTACTTTTTTCATGAACTAGATGCAATTCCGAAGGTAATTTTAATTTGTTTTGTTTTTTAAAATTTATTTACCATTCTCTATTTTCTAACGCTAAAACTAAAATATAATTTCAGACCTGCAACTCAGTGAAGCTTGATTACAAGCCTCCAGCTATCTTTGTTGTGGTTCATAAAAATCACCATACTTTCTAATTACCTTTGTTATGGTTCAAAAAAGTCATTAGACCACAGGTGTACTTCAGTTACCTTTGTTGTCGTTTAGAAAAGTCATCAACCATAGGTACTCTCTAGTTGCCTATGTTGTGATTCAGAAAAGTCATTAGATCACTAGTACCCTCTAGTTACCCTTGTTATGGTTCAGAGAAGCAATCAAATTATATGTACCCTCTAGTTAAATACCTTTGTTGTGATTCAATAAATTAAAGTCATTAAATTATATGTACCCTCTTGTTACCCTTGTTGTGGTTCAAAAAAGTCATCAAAGTACATGTACCCTCCAATTACCTATGTTGTGGTCCAGAAAAGTCATCATACCATAGCTACCCTCTAGTTGTGTACCTTTGTTGTGATTCAGAAAAGGCATCAAATCACGGGTTCTCTCCAATTATCTTTGTTGTGGTTCATAAAAGTCATAATCTCAAGGGCACCCTCCAATTACCTTTGTTGTAATTCAGAAAAGGCATAAGATCATAAGTACGATAGAATTACCATATTGTTGTTGTTTAGAAAAGATATTAGACCAGAACCCCCCAATTACCTTTGTTGTGATTCAAAAAAGTCATCATCCCATCATGGGTACCCTCCAGTTACTATTGTTGTAGTTCAGAAAAGGCATCAAACCATGGGTACCCTCAAAATTCCTTTGTTATTGTTCTAAAAAGGCATAAAGCCATAAATATGTACCTTCAAATTACACTACAAGAAAATTGTTCATTAGTGAGAGCTAAAACCGTCATTAAAAAATCAAAAACCATCATAAATTACTTTTAATGACAGGAAATTTATTGTCGCCGCCCGTCGTTATTTCTCCGCGGTTAAAAACAAATAGTGACGGGATATGATACCATCATTAATTAGACATATAGTGATAGTGTATTTACCGTCACTAAAACGTTCTTTTTATGACAAAAAATCCCGTCACTAAATACAACTACTTACTAGCATAAATTTTCTCTCATTATATTCTAATAATGATGGGATTTTGCCCGCCACTAAAAATTATAATTTAGTGTCAAATATTATTTTTCTAATTTTATATATTTTATATATATTGTTACTTCTCATTAAATATTAATTTTTGTAAAATTTTCCCGATATTATGTTATGTTGTAACTATAGATATTGTATTGGTAAAAAAAATTTCCATAATGCAATTAAAGTAAATTCAATCAATAAATTAAAAGACTTCATCATCACTACTGAAATAAAATGTTTCATACAACTTTGTAAAGACTAAAAAAAACAAAAACAAAAAAACAAAAACAAAAAAAAAAACAAAAAACAAAAAAACAAAAAAAAAAAAAAAAAAAAAAAAAAAAAACAAAACAAAACAAGAAAAAAACAAAAACAAAAAAAAAAACAAAAAAAAAAAACTAATTATAACAAATTGAGATAGTAATGTATATGTTCATAGTCTTGAACTCATAGTGGCCTAAGACTTCAAACAATTTGCTCTTGTTCACCAGTGATTCTCTCAGGAAACAGATCAACAATTCCCACATGTTCCTGTTCAGAAAATCCCCTACAAAGACTAATCTTTTCCCGTCAACATCTTCAGCATTTTTAGGCCATCAAACCGGTCTTCTCATTTCAGCAGAAAAAACCAAGAAACAAAAAGCAGTAAATTTACCAAATGCATTGAATTGAACTTCAAAGTCTAACAAGATTCAAGAAAAAGTTTCAACCTTAGAAGTTGGCAGCCACTAGGTTTCCACCTGAGCCTGAGGTAATCTGAGTCCGGATGACCACTCTTGAAGCAGTTGAAAGAATCATCAATAAAGCGGCAAGATCCTGGCTTGTAAAGCGGCTCAGAGTCATCATCATCTTCAACCCAATGCCCATCAAACAGATCACAAGAACTGACATCTTCCTCCTCTTCGTCTTGAGCAGCAGAATAGTTACAAAAACACGAAAGAAATTGAGCGTTGGAGGCGACAATGGAAGACAGCGATGAGAAACTGAGCATTAGCAGATTCATCTTGGCTGCACCTACCACTAATAATTACAAATTCATTATACAATAATCACAACATAGGTATGTACGCTCGAGTTACCTTTGTTGTGGTTCAGAAAAGGCATAGGTACCCTCTAGCTAAGTTACCTTTGTTCTGGTTCAAAAAAGGTATCATACTATAGGTATCCTCAATTAAGTTACCTTTGTTGTGGTTCAGGAAACAAAAAACACCAAACTATAAGTATCCTTGTTTGGTGCATGGTTTGTGCCGTGGTTGTGCATGGTTTGTGTTTGCAATATTACGGATTAAATATTATATGGTTGAGTACTTGAGTTTGTTTGTTATATTTCTGCTATAATTGTTATATTTTCTAAAATAGTACGTGTTTCTGGATATTTGCAAATACTTGGGGAAGATGTCCGTGAGTGAAGGACAGTTCTATCAAGTACTTTTTCATGAACAGATGCATACAATTCGGAAGGTAATTTTGTTTTATTTTTTAAAATTTATTTACCATTCTCTATTGGCTAACAGTAAAATCTAATTTCAGAGGTGCAACTAACTCATTGAAACATGATTACAAGCCTCCAGTTACCTTTGTTGTGGTTCAGAAACATTACCACATGCACAAGATTTTTGGCCGATCAATAACCACTGAAATCAAATCTTTGGATAGGAGTGGTAACATCCTTCCAGGTACAATATATAAGTAGTTCCAATCTATCTAGCTAGTTTGTGCTACGTGGGTTTCTCTTTGGTGCATGGTTTGTGCTAGTAACTCATATCTCATTATTTTCTTTTCTTTCCTTTTGTCACTTGCAAATGATATTTTTATGATTTTCTTCTCCCAAAAAATTGAATCCTCAATCCTAAGGGCCAGAGCATTTGGAAAGACGTAAATCATGGTGACTCAGTGGTTCAGCAGACAGGGCCTAATTCCGGTACGCACCACTACACAAGGGATCTGTCTACTTTCAGCATAATCCCAACATTACGGTCGCCTAGGTCGAACTTTGGTCTCTTCTCTGAAATACTGCGTAATGAACCATTAAGCTAAACCTATGCGGACATATTTTCACTATAAAGTTATATGGTAATTTGTAAGGAAAACATGAGGAACATCATAGTTGTGAAGGGAAGGAACAATGGTGCTTCTCGTCCGACATGATAATGTTACCAGCCTGCTGAGGTTAAGTGGGCGTCGGCCTTATATTAGACTCGAAATGGTGCTCCTGGTCCGACATGCAATGCATGTTTTCCGAGCTTCAATCCGAGGATTATTGTAGAGAAAACGGCCGCGGAGAGATTAGGGGTTGAGGGGACGATCAGATCAAATAGACTTTAATTTACTATTTTGTTCATGGGTCGATGGATGTATATATGACTATCTTTTGTTGCATGAAATTTAATTTTGAGTTTTCATATTTTGAATTACTACGATCCGTATGATATGTGCAGGTCAGGTGCATCTAATTGAATAGCAATATTTGACAGGTATTGTTTTTTCATGAACTTATTGGGTTTGAAAATGTAATTTGTATTTTGAGCTCACTTTGTATTTAGAAAAGTCATCAGGCCAAAAGTCCTCACCAGTTACCTTTGTTGTGGTTCAGAAACATGATCAACTATAGGTACCTTCCAATTACTTTTGTAATAGTTAAGAAAAAGTCATTAGACCACAAATACGCTCCAGTTACCTTTGTTGTCGTTCAGAAAAGGCATCAGACTATAGGTGTCATCGAGTTACTTTTGTTGTGGTTGAGAAAAGTCATCAGACCGTAGGTACCCTCTAGTTACCTTTATTGTGGTTCAAAGTCATCAGACCATAGGTACTCTCGAGTTACCTTAGGCATACTCTCAAAGTACCTTTGTTGTGATTCTGAAATCATCTCATGGGTACCTTCAAGTTACCTTTGTTGTAATTCAGAAAAGACTTTAGACCATCGATACCTCGAGTTACCTATGTTGTCGTTCAGAAAAGGCATCAGGCCATAAGTACCTTTGAGTTACCTTTGTTGTCGTTCAAAAAAAAAGCATCAGATTATAGGTACCCTCAAGTTACCTTTGTTGTGGTTCTGAAAAGACATCAGACCATAGCTACCCTCACATTACCTTTATTATGGTTCAAAAAAGGTATCACACCATAGGTACTCTCTTGTTATCTTTGTTGTGGCACCAAAAAAAAAAAAAAAACAAAAAACAAAAAAAAAAAAAAAAAAAAAAAACAAAAAAGCGTCAACACTAGGTACCCTTGAGTAATATTACTATTGTTTGGTGCATGGTTTGGGCAGTGGGTGTGCATGGTTTGCGTTTGCCATTTACGGATTAAATATTATATGGCAGAGTTTGTTAGTTATATTTGTACGTGCTACAGAGTCGAACTATAATCATATATGTGTCCAGTCGCTAGTTTATAAAAGTGTAACTACTTGCTAGTTGGTTTATCCATGGAGATGTAGTGAACTTCTAAAATATTGCTAGTTAATACTCTATATAGTCCTTGACTATACTCAATTTAGTTTTAAGTGATTTTTTTTTGCTGAACTTAGTCATCGACTTTTATAGTTTTACACAATTTAGTCATTTGTTAAAAGTTCTATTAGTTGGCTGTTAGAAATAGGGTCCTAAATGGCAATTTATCATTCTTCATCCTATTTGGAATGATTCCTTCTTCTTCTTCCCCTTATTAAGCTCTACGCAAAAATGCAGATCTTCATCTCCAAATCAACTTCAACCCTAAATAAATAAATATTTGTCCAACCTTCCTTCCTTCCTTAAGCTCATCCTTAATTAAGGTTCACACAGATATCAATTAAGCCGCTATAATAAGCTTTTCTGAAAAACAGTACCAATAGAATTAAAGAGTTCTACAGCTTCCCTCTTTAAAATACCTCCAACATTCTCTTCATCTATCAAGAGTTTCTCAATATAACCGAACTTTGGGTTGGCCTTCTTAATGCAATCAAACAATTTATACATTTCTTCCTTAGGTATCTGGACCAGCACATTGAGAAGACAACTGCACAATCGCTCATCAGGACTCAATCCTACGCTTGACTGGAAAGGAGGGTCGGGGAATTGGGGAAATTACTGTAGGCAAATATTTGTATATATATTTATATATTTAGGGTTGAAGTTGATTTGGGATGAAGATCAGTATTTCTGCGTGGAGCTCAATAAGGGGAAGAAGAAGAAGAAGGAATCATCCCAACTGGAATGAAGAATGATAAACTACCATTAGGACTTTATTTCTAACAGCCAACTAACAGAACTTTTAACAAATGACTAAATTATTCATGTGCAAAACCATAAAAGTCTAAGACTAAATTGAGCATAATAAAAATTAAAGGAGTAATATCTAATATGATTTTACACAATTTAGTCACTTGTTAAAAGTTTTGTTAGTTGGCTGTTAGAAATAGGGTCCTAATGATACGTAATTTATCATTCTTTATTCCATTTGGGATTATTCATTTTTCTTTCCCGTATTAAGTTCCACGCAGAAATTCAGATCTTCATCTCCAAATTAACTTCTACCCTAAGGGTCTGTTTGGAAACCCGGAAACCAGTGAGTCACTGGTTTTCGATCGGAAACCAGTGAGGTCACTGGTTTCCGATCGGAAACCAGTGAAGAAGGTTGAAAAAAAAAAAATCGAAAAGGGGAAGTCATTTTTTGGGAGAAGAAGGTTTGAGCGTGTGTTGATTGGAAGATGGAAAATGACTTCCGCCAAAAAAAGGGGAAGTCATTTTCCAGATTTTAGCCTTCATTTTCCATTGACTAATAAGCATTTTCCTTTGACCATTTTATTTTCAGCCTTCCCAAACACCAAAAACCCGAAAAATATTTTCAGAAGTCATTTTTCGGGTTTCCAAACAGACCCTAAATAAATAAATATTTTCCCAACCTTCCTTCCTTAAGCCTTTCCTTAATTAAGCATCACACACATATCAATTAAGCTGCTACAATAAGCTTTTCTAAAAACAGTACCAATAGAATTAAAGAGTTCTACAACTTCCCTCTTTATTAAAACACCTCCAACATTCTCTTTTATCTATCAAGAGTTTCTCAATGTAACAAGCTTTGGGTTGGCCTTCTTAATGCAATCGGACAATTTATACATTGCTTCCTTAGCTAGGTATCTGGACCAGCACATTGACAAGACAACTGCAAAATGACTCATCAGGACTCAATCATAAGCCTGACAGGAAGGCAGGGGACTCAATCCTAAGCCTGAGTTGTTTTTTTCAATTTATTTGACATTATATTTCCTTGATCGGTTCCATATATCCAAAAAATTTCCTAACATCAAAATAGAGGAGCAAGTGTAGCTGCACTTAAGTGGCACAGTTGATCGCTAGGCACCAAACCACTCAAGGTCCTCGTCAAAGTCATCAGAGACCACAAGTACCATCTAATAATTACCTTTGTTGTGTTTCAGAAAAGTTATCAAACCACATATAGCCTCTATTTACTTTTGTTGTGATTCAAAAAAGTCATCAGACCAAAGGTACTATCCATCCCGTTACCTTTGTTGTAGTTCAGAAAAATCAACTATAGTTACTCTCCAATTACTTTTGTTAAGGTTAAAAAAAAATCATTAGACCATAGGTACCCTCCAGTTAATACCTTTGTTGTCGTTCAGAAAAGTCATCAACCATAGGTACCCTCCAATTATCTTTGTTGTGGTTCAGAAAATTAATGTCATTAGACTACAAGTACCTTCTAGTTACCCTTGTTGTGGTTCAGAGAAGCTATCAAACCACATGTACCCTCTAGCAGTGGCGGATCCAGAAATATTCTCCAGTGGGGGCGAAAGACTAAAACTAACGAGAAATAGAAAAACAATGAAACACTTAGAGACTGAATCATAAATATTATTAACTAGAGATGAAAATTCAAAATACATCAAGATAAATATAAAAAAAAAGTATTTAAAACAAAATATAAAATATAATTAATTAGATAAAATAGTTTGAATGAAAAACACATTATAAATCACTCATCTCACTATTAATATGCAAGATTCAAACCAATGACCATTATTACATAATATGTAGAAGCCTTACCATCTAAGTCAAATCAATCTTTGTTTAAGTACGTGTTGGTATATTTAATATATATTGGGTGGGTGAGTGGGGGCAGCAGCCCCCACTATGGCTCCGCCACTGCCCTCTAGTTACATAGCTTTGTTGTGGTTTAGAAAAGTCATTAAATTATATGTACCATCTAATTACCCCTTTTGTGGTTTAGAAAAGTCATCAAATCACATGTACCCTCCAATTATGTTGTGGTCCAAAAAAGTCACCATACCATAGGTACCCTCTAGTTGTGTACCTTTGTTGTGATTCAGAAAAGGCATCAAACCACAGGTTCCCTCCAATTACCTTTGTTGTGGTTCAAAAAAGTCATCATCTCAAGGGTACCCAACAGTAACTTTTGTTGTAGTCCAGAAAAGGCATAAGATCATAGGTAACGTCGAGTTACCTTTGTTGCTGTTTAGAAAATACGTCAGACCATAAGTCCCTCTAGTTACATTTGTTGTGATTCTGAAAAGTCATCATCCCATGGGTACCCTCCAGTTACTTTTGTTGTAGTTCAGAAAAGGTATCAGACCATAGGTAACCTCAAGTTAGTTTTGTTATTATTCAAAAAAAGGCATCAAGCCATAAGTACCTTAAAATTACCTGTGTTGTCGCTCAGAAAATGCATCAGATCATAGGTACGTACCCTCGAGTTACCTTTGTTGTGATTCAGAAAAGACATTTGACTGATAAGTACCCTCCAGTTACCTTTGTTGTGGTTGAGGAAACAAAAAACATCAAACTATAGGTAGCCTTGAGTAATATTATGTTGTTTGGTGCATGGTTTGTGCAGTGGGCATGCATGGTTTGTGTTCACAATATTACGGCCGGATTAAATATTATATGGTTGAGTACTTGAGTTTGTTTGTTATATTTGTGCTATATTGTTATATTTTCTAAAATAATGTTTCAGGATATTTACAAACACTTGGGGAAGAAGTTGGTATGAGTGAAGGACAGTTCTATCAAGTACGGAGTACTTTTTCATGACCTAGATGCAATTCCGAAGCTAATTTTGTTTTGTTTTTTTTTTTTTTTATAATTTATTTACCATTCTCTATTTTCTAACACTAAAATATAATTTCAGAGGTGCAACTCATTGAAGCTTGATTACAAGCCTCAAGTTACCTTTGTTGTGGTTCAGAAACGTTACCACATACACAAGACTTTTGGCCAATCGATAACCACTGAAATCAAAGCTTTGGATAGGAGTGGTAACATCCTTCCAGGTTCAATAATTAGTTCCAATCTAGCTAGTTTGTTGCACTTTCTTTTCCAATTATTATTCTTGTTTGGTGCAAGGTTTGTGCTACGTGGTTTCTCTTTGGTGCATGGTTTGTGCTAGTGCTAGTCACTATCTCATTCTTTTTCATTTCTTTCCTTTTGTGGCTTGCAAATGATGTTTTCATGATTTTCAACTATAAAGGTATGTGGTAATTTGTACGAAAAACATGAGGAACATCGTAGTTGAGAGGATCGGAGAAGGAACAAGGGTGCTCCTCGTCTGACATGTTAATGTTACCGGCCTATTGAGGTTAGGTGTTGGGAGCTCCGGTGTTGGCCTTATATTAGACTCGAAATGGTGCTCCTCGTCCGACCTTCAATGCATGTTTTCCGAGCTTCAATCCGAGGATTAGTGTAGAGAAAACGGAGAGATTAGGGGTGAGGGGACTGTCCGATCAGATCAAATAGACTTTAATTTACTATTTTGTTCATGGCAGGGTTGATGGATGTATATATGACTATCTTTTGTTGCATGAAATTTATTCTTGAGTTTTCATATTTTGAAATACTCCGTATGGTATGTGCATCTAATTAATAATTGAATAGCAATATTTTACAGGTATTGTTTTTTCATGAACTCATTAGGTTTGAAAATGTAATTTGTATTTTGATCTCGCTTTTTATTTAGCCTCCTATATTATCTAATAGGTACTAAAATATAATTTCAGGCATATATGCAACTTAGGTTCCGTTTGGAAATTTGGAAAATGTTTTTTGGAAAATGAGTCATTTTTAAAAAAATATTTTAATTTTCGATGTTTGGCTACAAAACATAAAATTGTCTTTGTGTGTTTGGTTCATTTTCCAGAAAATGAGTATGAAAGTGGTAAGAATTGTATACTTCAACATGTTAATTATTTGATATTTTTAATAATATCCTTTTGTGACAAGCACTCATTAAGCCTTGTGGACAATTTTGAATATATATATATATATATATATATATATATATATATATATACATATATATAGATTTTGGTTCCTGTGAGAAGGTCTTCCCGTGCGGTCAGTGCGGCATACACCATTAGGTATAAATGCACCATACAGTATTCGAGAATACACTAGAATGAAATGCCAAAAAATGCGCCACACAAAAAAAAAAAAAAAATACACCACACATAATGGTGTATTTTCGAACACTGTGTGGTGCATTATTTATGCATACCTAATGGTGTATGGCGCACTAACGGCACGGGAAAGACCTGTTCTCACAAGAACCTGACCCTATATATATATATATATATATATATATATATATATATATATATAGTGTATCTATATCACACACAAACTATATACTATACATACCAAGCATGAGGATTGGAAAATGACTTCCCGAAAAAAAAAAAAAAAAGAAGTCATTTTTTCCCAAAACATACTTATTTTCC